ATCCTAAATATCTGCAAATTTAAATTCTCTTTAAGATTATAAGACACTTAAAAACTGTGAACTACCCCCAATTATATATTTTTAATTTAATCATTTAGTCTATCAAATATAAAGACTAAAGACTCTAATGATATTTTTGGCTGTTCTTTTCTGCTGAGATCTTTACAGGAAGCAAACTCACACAACAGACTTGGGAGAAGTTTTACATCAGATGTTCCTCCTGACACAAACTGGCTTCAGAGTTGTAAAACAGCAGCACAGAATATTAAACTACTGTAAAGAAGAAGAAAACAAAAAAATGACAAGAATTCTAATCTTAATTAAAAAGTTTAAAACGTGTGTAAAAAAACCTTGTAAATATGTTTAAAGAATGTTCTTCTGTTCATTCTTGTTTTTAATTGTCACATTTTCAACCTCCTCATTTATCAGGGCTCGGGGCTGGAAAAAGATACAGGTTTTGTTTTGTTGTTGCAACTTCTTTTGTTTTCTTTAAGAAAAAAAAATTACTGAGACAAAAAGTTGTTGAAATTTATGTCGACAACAGTCACAGAAAAAGTCCTCTCAGATGGCTCTTTTACTCTCTTTTGCGATAATGAGGAGGAACGCTGGCATGTAAACAGAATGTTGCTACAGAGGGCGACAACACAGACAGCAGCGAAGAACTGCTCGCATCCAGGCAGTTCTTATCTTCTCCACAGAAAAGCAGAGCAAACTGGGATCTGTTACAGTTTCACCATTTAAACAATGATTTTACAACATTTTGACCACTAGCTTGTTGGTTTCATTTGTTCTCTTTCATAAAAGAAGACCAGGGAGTTCTACTTTGGAGTCACTTTCAGTTGCACTGTTGAGCCAAGATCAAAGCAAAAAATATGCCAGTTAAAAGGGAAAAAAAAATCATGTGTTTCCTGCCAAATTTCTTAAATATTAAGATGGTTTCTTCCAACGTTTGTGTTTGTAGGAAATGCAKGTCACAGGCACTTTGAGTCTGGTTTTGTTTTCTAACCTTACAGTCCAACGAAGGAGCCAACAGTTAAAACCGTAAAACATCCACATTTACATCCTGCCCTCACTGTAAGCCAGGACGTGATCATCAACCAGCAGCAGATTTGCGAATGCATCATTCATTAGCAGTCTGYTCTGATYCCACCTGGGAGGGGCAGGAGGGGARCTGTGAGACAAGAGGGGGGCCAGCAGCAGCAGCACCCATTGCTTGTTGAGGAAGAGTAAGAATGAAATGTGCTTTTGCTTCTGAGTCTCCAAAATATTTCTATTAAAACCTGAAAAAGTCGATAACTTTGTTGCTGGTTGTTTTTTGAAAAAAAAAAAAAAGCCACTAGAGGGGTCCAAATATTCTCTCAAGATAATCTAAATACTTGTTGGCAACACAGAGTTAGATGGCAATGAGCCTAAAAATGAAGGACTGAGCAATGGACCGTGCATTTTAGTGGATTTTGCTGAGATGTCCAATAAACAGGTTTTATAAATATTTCTGTACATAAGAGGATATTTAATAAACAGTATGGTTGACTTGATCAATGAAATGATTCAAACATTGTGAGATGGAGTCAGACCTAAACAAATCTCTTGATTTTTAAGTTAAAAGTTACAGACCTTTCTATTCTGACCTAAACAGGAGGAAGAGACCAAGTGGCTCAAGTGAGGGACCTGTTTTTATTTATTTTTTTTTTATTTTGGCTAACTAAAGTTCAGTTTCAGAGTGTTCTACAAAGCCCTTGAGTGCCTCTGTTTTTACAGTAGATATGTCAATAAAAGTGTAAAAATTCCTTAGTCTCACTAGCCTGGCCTTTGCCAYACACAGTTCCGCACAAGTCTAGTTTCCCTTCTCTGCTCCGTCTGGGACTTCTCCCATAGACAACAATTTCGATGGCAGATTTTTAGCTGAAGCAATCAGAGAACAGAACGTCAATTTTCTGCACAGTGTCTGCTTGTAGTTTATTTTACCTGGGCCAATCAACAAACAGAAGGCGGAGTTTTGAACTTTGTTGATTTTCTGCACAGTGTCTGCTTGTAGTTTATTTTACCTGGGCCAATCAGCAAACAGAAGGTAGAGTTTTGAACGACGGTGATTTTCTGCGCAGTGTCTGCTAGTTATTTTAGCATACAGCAGTGGAGGAAGAGAATGAAGCCAGTCTGTGTTGATAAGGCTTCCAAATTAAATTAAATTTGTCTGACAAAGCAGCAGCTCTCATTTACAGTCGTCTCGTTCAGCTCGGTACTTCTCTCCTCTCAGTAGGGTTGTTTACATTTACAGCGCACGCGATATCCGGTTAGCTTCTTAGCTTAGCCTCCTTCACAGCGACATGTACACTCAGACACACACACGCGCACGCACGCTTCAGCAGAGGCCACGCCTCCAGCAAGAATCGCTTCTCTATAGCTGTGAGTCCAGACCCTCTGTACGAAGCAAAGTGAAGGAAAAAGGTCTGGTTTTTACCAGGCTATAGTCTCACTGTTGTCTTGCACATTATCACACCTCTTGCATGTGGTGCCAATGCTAGAGGACAGTGTGACAAATACAATGTTTTATGAGCTGCTATTTTATGTATTAGCATCTCTAACTCCAAGGGCGTAACTTTAGGTCTACCATTTGGGGGGTTATGCTCTCTGCCTGTTACATGCCTTACTCTGCCTGACATTGCCTCCACCAAGGGAGGAGATAATGCCTGTCTGTCTGCCTTGTGGGGCGGCTGTGGTGTAGTGGTAGAGCAGCCGGCTTGGGACCTGAAAGTCTTAGGTTTGACTCCCCGCCATACCCACATGTCGTGGTGTCCTTGAGCAAGACACCTAACCCTCACTGCTCCCCGGGCGCCTCACATGGCTGCTGCTGCTCCACTTGGGTGTGGATGGGTTAAATGCAGAGCACAATTTCGTCATTGTGTGGAAACATACACTGATGACAAATAAAGCACCTTTGCCTGACTGTCTGACTGTCTGTCTTTCTGTCTGTGGACAAAATTACTGAAAAACTTATGGACGGATTTTCATGATTTTGGTGATGATCTGGTTTACAATCCGGATCCAGGAATTTTTTGAAGGATTCATCATTATTGCCAGATAGGGGAAATTGGCCTTGGCAGAGCTTTGTGCTCTTCGAGTGCTTCTACTTTATTTTTTGAATCATTTACTTATGTAAAACCATGCTGAATATTATGGGGTTAAAATACATGTAATTATTCTACTATGATTTACTTATATTTCTTGTTTTCTTTGTACCGTAATTACTTTGCAACTTTTCTGTTTGAAGTCAATTCAACAAGTAAGAAAAGGGTTACTCCCCTCCACAGACTTTAAACTGTGAATAGGTGTGAGTGAGTGGGTGAATGGTTGCTTGACTCTAGAGGCTTTTTCAAACTGGCACCTATGCTGCGTTCCAGTTGCATCAGAGCTCGAAATTCTGAAGCCGGACTGACGTCAGTTCTGAGCTGATAGTGTTCCAGTTTCAAACATCGGAAAAAGCATTTCTATTTTGCTCTGCAACAATAAAATGTACAATAATAGTGCTCTGAGGTATTTTGAGTGTACAGTGTTAAAACATATATTTTAACTTTCACTATAAAGCACTACAAGTACGTCTGACATAATGTAAAATAAACAACACAAAACAAAGCCGCGTTTGTTTACATGCAAGACTAGCAATGTTAACRGTTAGCTCGGACAAGCATGCTAGTACGCTACATACATTAAACAAATATAAAAAGGGAAAATAAACAAACAAATTACACTCATTTTTATTCTGCCTCCTCCCTTCTTACTTTCTGTCTGTTAAATAATGGGGATGGTGCTTGTGTACGTTTGATTACAGCTCAACATTAGCCGTTAGCTTAGAGAAACATGCTAATGATAGCGCGACCGCTKACAGTTTTATGCGCGCAGCAGCCATGTTGAAATGATGACGTAAAGCATGCTCGGGCTGCTCGGGTATGGTTTGGATGCGCCRACCTCTCGACTCGAAACTACAACTTTAGGGGGCGTTCCAGTCGTRGAACTCGGAGGCTCGAAGCTACGACCTCCGAGGACAACTTGAACGCAGCATTAGACGCCTTCAAGCTGCCTCTGTGTGATTAGACCAAGGTTGGATGTGCTTTGTGCTGTGAAGTGAGGTAGTAACAGAGMTGAAACAGTCAACATGTGGAAACACGAGTCGAGGCCACGACTCAATATTGTGATGAAGTGATGACATGTTTTTTTTGTGACCACCCGGCTGTAGGATTAAACACCAACAGGTTTATTACAGAGGGAAGAGAGATGATGACACAATTAATTAATAAACTGAGTTAATTCATCAGCTTTTAAAAACAATATGAGGAAGACACATTCAATGTGTTGCACTTCACATAAACGCAGCTGAGGTCAGGTCAACACCTCAACATCAGGTCTAAAAGCTTACGTCTCTGCAGGAAGTAACCAGCTCCATCTGTGATTTCTGAACAGTCAGATGGAGCATAAAGGCAGATGGGTCTGAACTTTTTATGACTGAGCCTAATGTAGACCTGTCCAGGGTGGACCCCTCTTTCTCAGTGACTGCTGGAGCCCCCTGTGACCTTTAAAGGAGAAAATAAATAAACAGAGGTGTATCAGGGRAGTGTCTCATGTGCCCTTGATGTAATGTTGATTTGGATAGACAAAGGAAACTGGAATCATGCACACACACAGTTTCATACGTCTTGATTAGTTTGTGTATTCGCCATTTTCTCCATTGAAACAAACCTCATGTTTTTTGTAGGAAAACCATGTTACTCTTCATACATGAGGCCACAGATCTTTGAATTACAAAAATGTCCATCTCTCCAAATATTTTAAARGCTTGCTGTATGAAAAACAGTGTGATAAAATACAACAACAAATTCTTTGCCACTTTTTGTCCTCCAGAATCACTGGTATGTGATTCCAGGCTCCTCAGATGAGTTTCTTGTAAAATGTTATCCAGCCGTAAACCCTCAGGAGTAACAGAGCATCAGGGCCAGACTAGCTGAGTGTGAAATRGGTCATATTAAGTGAAAACCCAGGACAAAGCTCATACAGCTCTCTCTCTCTGGTAAACTACTCCAGTTCCTCTCCTGCTTCCATATTTAGATTTCTCCTTCCCCCTCCTCTGCTGGACAGTTGCCTTCCACTGTCATGTTCCTCCCCCSCTTCCTCTTCCTCYTCTTCCTCCTCCATGCCCTCCTCCTCTTCTTCATCCTCCTCCTCATCTTCTTCATCTTCCTCCTCAGTGCTGTCCATGGAGTCCTCAGCTGCCAGCATGGCCTGCTGCATGGCCAAGGTGGCCGAGTCTGAGGATAATGACTGGAGGCCGTCCATGCTCAGTGGATCTGGGACACAGAACAGTGGTGTTTGTGAGTGTGAACACGTTTTTTTTTTGCACACTGGACTCACAGCATGGAGACTAATGGAGTAGAAATAAATAGACAATAGAAGTAACATTGGACAGAGTGGTTTCTTTAGTCTTTTGCTCATTTYGTACCTGCTTCAGCTGAACTGCAGAAATAATGGATAATAAAAAAATATTTTAAGACCAGTATTCTCTATTACTCTTTCATGCCAGYGTTGGGAAATGACGTATCTGTAGCCATTTTGGTTGTAGCCATGCTGAACWGATCTAATTCAAAAAATAATCAATGGAGGTGAAACAACTAAAGATTCAGCTGCTCTCTTCTGTTGGGATGCCCACAAACTCACAGGAGATTTAACAACTGATTTCTGACCGATGCCTTCCTGACACAACCTGGACTCGAACCCGCAGCCTCTGSATTACCAGAGCTGATCAATGATTACTTTCYGGAAGATTAATTAAAATCCATCCTGTTRTTTATGAGATATTTAGTTCAAAACAAGACAAAATTCACKTCAAAAGGTTTTAACGCAATCAGTTACTATAAAAATCAGCAAAATCAGCCTCAGCTAATACTACGCCACAGTTTAGCTAAATATCTGTRAAATAACAGGCAATGTTTCTTCTGATTGCTAAGTCATCTTGAATAAAGTTTAATCCAAATGTTAATCGTTGTAATTGTACATCTAACAATTACTTTCTGAGTTTCATTCAAATTTGACCAGTTGATGAGATATTTTAGGTATACCAGAACACAAACACACACCTACCATCTAGTCTGAGACCTGGCATGATACTATAAACAACTTTAGATTTAAAACTACTTTAAAATCAAGATCTCTCTTAATTCAGGTGGGGAACTATCCCCCCCCACGTGCTTTTTTTATTTCAATTTTGATAATAAACAAAAACAATGTCAATAGTGCCATCTAGTGATTGACATTTAAACATACAAGATCAAAGATAACTCGCTTAGTGTTTATTTATGTTCTCTGAGATCTGGGATGAAGTGTGTGTGTGTGTGTGTGTGTG